GTTTGGGGTCATGTGTACCTATAGTTATACTTATAGAATTTTAAAACTCAGTGCTTGTTGTGTGTTAGTTTTACTGGTTTCCTGGTGACAGGGCAATATTCTCAGTAATTTAGAGTGTGGGCTAGTCACCATGCAAATGTGCAATTCACATCAAAGGCATCTATTGCTAGGGGTGAATAAAATTGACATATTGATGCCAACAACACTGTCCACACAGAGTAAGGTTCGCAGCATAAGACAGAGTTGTATATAAATAAGTTTACCAACTAGAGCACAAAATACCTTTATGCACCATTCTAATGCTAAAAAATTTACTCATGGAACATTGCAAATTAGTGGAAATGAATAAGCCTCAGGGAAGGTGGTTAAGAAACCTAATAACATTGTCTTTTGAGTCCAACATTGCAACTAGTGGATCACACTGTATACACCTTTGTTACACGTATGTGTGTATTTGCGTTGTCGTGATTTTTGCCGAAATGTTTTTCAATAGAAAAGTTAAGGCTACAAGAAGCACAGTAGTAAGTACTGACTATTTTTTAATAGAGATTTATGTACCGCTGCTGCTATTACACTTGTACAAGCAAATATTTTTTCTTATATGGAAAAATTATGTTGTTTTTGCGATATATATATAGGTTCAAGTTTTTTACGTGCTTTCCAAAAATGCAGCAAATAAATTTGTGACTCTGATGTATGAATTGGAACAAAAGAGTTTGCTCAGAACGCAGGAAATCGCATTTCCGAGGTTCTAGATTTCAAAATTTCCCGGGGGAGGATACCCCCGGACCCCCCGACAAATGCGAGTTCTTATGTATGCATCAGTCAGTTCAGGAGCTGGATCCGCCCCTGGTTACGTCCCTGTACACATACAAATTGACAGCTTAGCCCATTAAGTTGCACTGCGCCTTACGGGGGCTACGTTGGCATGCTGATTGCACCACCGACATTGGTGGCGTAGTAGAGCAAGGGCCTTTCATCTCTGAGATTGTGGGTTAAATTCTCGTTGTGGACTCATGACACTTATGTGAAAAGAGTCAGTCAACACTCCGCCGAAAGTTGTGGGTTTTCTCCAGGAACTCTAGTTTCCTCCAGGGGGAATTTATTTATTTATTTATTTTTTATTTATTTAAAAATTCGCCCTGTTTACATAATTAAAATAGAATATACAGTATAACGTCTGTTGAATACTAGAGCTAGGAGCCTTTAAGAAACTTTAAGAAGCTTTTAGTGCAAGGCCCCTATTACAGCAAGTATTAAATTCAAACGATAGCTATATGTCAGTTAATATATAGTACATAAAATTTTAAAGAAAGTTGTGATGTAGTTTTACAATAATATAGATATACAACAAATATCAAGTTAGGAGTGCATGATGATGGAAGCATTGTTTTTACCCTACATTGTTTTAGACGTCCATGAATAATATAATATAATTTTAATTTAATTTAATTTAATTTAATTTAATTTAATTTAATTTAATTTAATTTAATTTAATTTAATTTAATTTAATTTAAAATTTAATTTAATTTAATTTAATTTAAAATGAAATTTATATTGCGCCAATTACATAAAAATGGCGCATTACAGGTGGATGAGAATAAAATATTACAATAATCAGAAGATATCTAAGCATTAAAAGCACGGTTAAAAAGCAGAGTCTTGATATTGCTCTTGAAGGTTGATAATGAATTAGTGGCCCTAATAGCCTTGGGCAAAGAGTTCCATAGTTTGGGGGCAGCAGATGCAAATGCTCTATCTCCCAATGTCACAAGTGATTTGCCAGGTGGTGGTACTAGTAAGGTCTCTTCATTATTACGTAAATTGTTCCTTGAAGGCTTTTTAACGTTTACAATGTTGCAAATATAATCAGGCGCAATACGGCCATGAATTGCCTTGAACGTGATTATTAAATCTTAAATTCGATACGATAATTAATTGGAAGCCAGTGGAGACTACAAAGTACAGGTGTAATGTGGCAAAATCTAGGTAGTTTACCTGCCTCGTCCCCAGGCGCTAATAAAAAATTTCATGCGAGTCACTATATGAAAGGTTTACATGAAGTAGTGCGTCACATTATAGGCGCGCAAAGGGGAGTGGGATATGAGCGTCGATGCCTCAAGCCCATAAACCCCTGCGCTTGTTCGTCGCGACGCACTACTTCATGTAAACCTTTCATATAGTGACTCGCATGAAATTTTTTATTAGCGCCTGGGGACGAGGCAGGTAGTTTACAGATAAGCCTGGCCGCAGCATTCTGCACCCGTTGTAATTTGGCCAGCTCATACTGCGGCACTCCAAACATCAAACTTTTGCAGTAATCCAACCTTGTGGTGATAAACGCGTGAACCAGAATTTCCGCTGACTCAGGTGATAGGTATTTTCTAATTCTTCTAATATTGTGGAGATGATAAAAAGCTGTTTTGCATACTTTATTAATGTGCGTTTCCATGATGAATCTTTCATCAAACCAGGATCCTAGATTTCTAACAACTTTCGACTTATCTACGACTAAATCACCAATTTTGATCTGAGAAATATTCACTTTGGCAAGTTGCTGTTTAGTACCTATAATGAGGAATTCGGTTTTGTCATCATTCAATAAGAGTCTGTCGTTTCTCATCCATGAGCGGATGTCACGTATACAGTTTTCCATCGCAGCTAAGGCTTTGTTCTGCTCCATATAGCTATCAGGCTTAAATGCCAAATATAGCTGGGAGTCATCTGCAAAGCAGTGAGCATCTGGAAGATGCTTTTCGATGATGCCAAACAGTTTAGATGCGTAGATGACGTAAAGCAGGGGACCAAGGCAAGAACCCTGAGGAACTCCACAACTTAACTAACTGAAAATAATTTGATAGAACACCTGAGACAGATATACGCTGACTCCTGCCAGTGAGGTACGAGGTAAACCAATCTAGAGGTTTACCAGTGATACCGAATGTAGAGTGAAGCCTACTCAGAAGAATTTCGTGGTTTACTGTGTCAAAGGCGGCACTATTATTATTATTCTTGTGTTTGATAATAAATTTTAGCTTGTTTTTTGAACGATTGGTAAAATTGGATGTATTTTAAACCTTCGTTCAAATTATTCCAAATATCTACTCCTTTATTGGAGAGAGTATGTTTCATATAATTAGTTCGGGTGTAGGTTTTATGTAGTTTTTTGGAACTTCTAGTATTGTACGTGATGATGAATTTATGAATTTGGTGGCCGGACATTTTGCCGAAAGACACTTTGCCGAAAGACATTTTGCCGAAAGACATTTTGCCGAACGGACATTTTGCCAACGGACGTTTTGCCGAACGGACGTTTTGCCGAACGGACATTTTTCCGAATGGGCATTTTGCAGAACGGACAGTTTGACGAACGGACATTTTGCCGAAAATAGAGATATCTTCTGAACTTTAAAGGTTCGCTTACACGGTCAAAGTTTCTGTGATTAAAGTCATTGTCGATTTTGACGACATAAACTTTGATAGTGAAGTATAGTTTCGTTTTATATTCTTTCAAGTTTTTGACAAGTTTACCGAAAATTCGCGATATAAAGAATAACATCATTCAACATCAATCATGAATGTGATTTCCCCGAGAACTGTGAATGTATTCCATGATTCTCGAAGTGAAATTCACTTACGTCGTCTTTATATAGTATTACAATTGTTTGTTTACGATCTGACGTCAAAACACGTTCCAAACAAATGAGTCATCCGCTGCACCAACAAGCTACCAATAGTCAATATGGTTATGCACTGCTAACAACCATTATGCACTGCTAATGACCCATTATATGCACTGCTAATGACCATATAATGGTTATTTTACACAATGGTTGAGAATTACACAGTTGAGAAATGAGTCACAGTCCCAAACATTTTGACGAAATAACATCTTTATTTTCGGCAAGTTGTCCTTTCGGCAAACTGTCCGTTCGGCAAAATGTCCGTTCGGCAAAATATCCGTTCGGCAAAACGTCCGTTCGGCAAAATGACCGTCGGCAAAATGTCCGTTCGGCAAATTGTCTTTCGGCAAAGTGTCTTTCGGCAAAGTGTCTTTCGGCA